CAGCTATGAAGCCTGTCGGCAGATGCCGAAACAGGTGTTTGCTGCAACGGGTGTCTCAGAGGCCAGATCAGATGTCCAATAAGAAACACTAGGTGTTCTTCCTAATAGAAGACAAGGACACCGGAAGCAACTGTGGACAGTACTTTGGTATCGGGTCAGTAAAAACTGCCGTGAGAATTTGCTGGAAATATCGTCCCGAAAAGTGTTTGCCATCCGAGAAACCGGGGCATGACACGGAACTGAAGAGTTTAACGTATCTACAGGACGGAGTTGAATTCTAGCGTCCCTGCTGGCATTCGACGGTTGATTCCTCTACTGACTGTCATCGTGAGCAAGTTCCTGTAATGTAAAACACCTTGCGGGCTCTCGTGGTTTCTGACGGCAGAAGGAATTAAAGAGCTGTGTTGTGCAAGTCCCTTATCCTACCTACGTCCCTATCGTTGAGCCACACAATCATTCTCTCTGGCTGTTTCTTTTTACACACGCCAAAGCAGTCTGAGAATTCAAGGTTTTCCAGGATAACTGGACAACACGATGACTTACTTGACACTTTTGTTCCCTCTACGATAAAAAAAAATGAATGTCCGAGTCCTAGCCAGTATATACGACTCATTCCCCCAGCACGCGTATAAGTATTCCATGGAGAAAGGCATCATAGCACCTGTGCTTGTAACAGCGTTCGTCCTAGCAGATCCAGTCGGCTAAATATTATAATTCCAGCACATTGCGAACGACGACTCCTGAACGAAGGCAAGCCAGGACTGAATACCGCAGAGTGAGTGATGTACTCAAGGTAAGCTCTCAACAGGTCCACCCGAGGCTTCAGCTTGCCACCTATAGTTCACACCAGTCAGGGCCGGTCTAATGTGAAGGGACATCTTGGTGGGTTTTGTTATCGCCTGGACGGTCTCCCAGGTAGAGGGTGGACTGTATCGTCAGCCATACCCAGGTGTTTCGGCGTTTTCAATTGGACAACGGATAAGAAAGCCAAGCCAGCCAGGTGCACAGTGTGGAAAAAACGTTTCGTCCGCCGAAGTATTGTCAGACACTGACGCTTCCAACGCATCTCAGTTGTCGCCAATCATTAAAGCGAATGGACTAGTCATTGCGGTGTCCAATGCACCCAACTTCAGGATTTCTAAATGGTGATCCCGCCGGAAGCATCCACTTGCAAGAAGTTATGGAACTTCAATTTACAACTTTACGGAATTTATAAACAATGTACAATGAATCGCAATTGCGGCGGTATCCTTCGATGTCATCTCACTGTCCACGTCCGTACCGCTAGTTTTGAGGAAACGATGCACACAACGTCTTCGTCACGAATGTCCCTGTAACTACTTTGCTGGAATTCTTAGCCCTTTATTTACAAATCAATCCTTCATTTGCCTAAGAATATTACCAACAAGTGAAGGGAACCTCTATAGGCGCACCTATCTCTGGCTTTCTTGCCGAGGTCACAATGTAGAAATTAGAAGTTACGGTTGTCCCAGCAAGTAACCCTACACTTCGCCCGCGCTACGTAAATGACGTAATTGTTGTCGTTTGGACGAATGTGTTGGAGGCGACCCACAGTATCATCAATTTGACACTTCAAAAGGAAGCTCACGAAGAACTCCCGTTTCTAGATGTCCTCGTATAGCGAGACTAAGGGGACATTGCACACATCAATCTGTCGTAAAGAAACCGGTGCGGAAATCGGTCTGCGCCGAAACCAATCACCCTTTCTCACACGCAAACGGAGTACTGTCAGCAGCCTACCAACCTCAACAAGAACTCACTGCCCAGACATCGAAAGTTTTCGAATATAACTAAAATATCCGTTAAAATAATTTTTTTCAGAATCCGTACCTTCTATATTTTTTTACATCCATGCAAGAGACAACAAGAGTCGCGAAAAAAAGGAATTCAATAATTCCGATCAGGAGCCCGTAGTAAGTATTTGGAAAACCTTTCCATATATTAAGAAAGTGTCTGAACTTGTTGAAAGACAACTGAGGAAACACAATACATGTGACGCACAAACCAATGACTACATCATACACCCAACTTCTTCACTTACAGAACAGGGTTGTCATTTGGGTAAGAAGAAAGTCGTCTTCAGGATTTCATATGATGCCTCCGATGCCATATATTGTGGATTAGGGGGCAATTAAAAAATCGTCGGTCGCGGTTGATAGGCATTACAGAAATTAACGGACGACAATTATGCACAAATACCGCATATTCAGGGGAAACCTCACCGACGGTATCGCAGACCTTACCGTGAATATCAGAAATGCATTGAGTACCGTTACTTCCTAGTGTGTGTTTAAAAGGTTCAAGGTCAGGATGTCTGTTTAACGAACTATAATGACGACGTGGTAACCACCGCGCAGTTAAAAGTGTTATCAGATAAGGCTATGACAGCGCAAGATAACCCGGACTGTATTACAGGTCTTCTCATCATGTGCAGACGAGCATAAGCCCAGGCGACGTACAGATGCTTTTACATAGACAGATAAGAAAATAATTACACCAGCATGACCGACAGTTGAAAACAAGATAATGTGTTGTAATAACTGAGACAAAACTTCAAAAGCATCTCTAGAACCCATCTTTTGTATATTAACGGCTTACTTCGGGGAGGACTATTCTCAAAGGCATGACGCTAATGGCAGCCCAGCTACACTCCATACAGCCCAGGCCATTATTTTATTGGCTACTAAGTGATGTTCATAAGTGCTTGCAATCAAGTCACTAATTCGATGAGGTTCAGTTCATTTGAGAAAAATTAGGTTTATCTGATTAAACTGCCACCGTGTTACGATCAACGGGTCATCAATTAAGCGCAAAAAGAAGTACGATTCGATTCTGATTACTGACAGTGCTGGCAGACACGTAAACGCTGATTAGTGCGTAGAACATTAGACAGCATAAGCATGTAGGTCTATGTACATTTTCGATTTTTCTCTTCAATTTTTTTCTGCTTCCGAACCTTTCTGCACTGGTGTTTGAGCATATTAAAATACATACAATAACGTGCGCTTTTTGTCAGCATGCTGCCCGGTGTTATTGCATCATTGACTACGCCCACCTGCCCCAATCCGTTTTAGAAAATTGTTTCGATCAGTTCTTTATTTCTCTGCCGCATCCCGCCAAATGCGAATTTATACGAACAACGAACTCAACTAACGGGGCTCAGCTCAGAATTTTTGGCCTTTACATAGAGCATTCTTCACACCATAACAGCCTGCTAGTGGAGAGAGCTTCGTGCGTTTTCGTTGTCGCCTTTTTGTAAGAGAGGCAACGTCCCCACTCAGAGCTATGTTTTTCCTTTATTTATAGTTTTCTGTGGTTTATTTGTTGTTTACACCCCGAGCAAAGGTTATATACAGATGAAGTCTTACTATGTCACCTATTTTAAGCCTTATTGTAAATGCCTCTGATTATGTGCAGTGAATTAGGGCCAGTATGGAAATTTCGTTAACAAATGTTGCTAGAATATGTCCAGTAGTACCCCATATGTAAAAACCTATTGCATGGGGTGTCAAGGCGACATCGGTCGGATATCAGTACTGTGCGTAATGCTATACCTATCCTGCTTCAACCTAAAACCATCTTCAGATGGGGACATAACGACAGCGAAAATGACGACAGTCCAAGCTTCAGCTGCTCTGTTGGAGACGAAGAACCTCCCTGCGCCCAGCCAAGCCGCAGTCATTGGTACTTTGATTGGATGTCCTCACAGATTCGTCCTGGTTGCTAAGTTCATAAATCTTCCAGGTACAAGCAGGCAGCCCTGCCCATTCGTGACGCGGAATCTTCGTATCAGGTCACCTCCACTGTACAAAGTCAGCAGCAGGACGTCGACGACAGATTACACACTCATAGATTGGACATTTATTCCCATCAAATAAATGGAGAGGATCATGAAGAGAGGATTTTCGCGATTTCTAGAAGTCAACAACTTGTTATCGAACTGCCAACACAGGCGCCGAAAAGGCATATCCTGTACGACAAATCTGCTGCGATCTCTCCAGAGTTTGACGAGAACTGTGAACGACAGGCACGCAGTTCACCTTGACTTCCAGAAGGCGTTCGACACTGGGCCACACTAACAGCTCGACCGTCGATTACGACTATTTCCGCCGTGTGCTTCACGCAAAGGTGCAGCAGGCACAGTGACTTGTGCGTGAATTAGTTTGAAATGACAGTAGGCATGCGCAATATCTGCCGCACTCTTCCCGCGTCCCCATCTGGTGCCGGTGTCAAGACAGAGTCAAGAAGACCGGAGGCGGAGGAGGGCACAGGTGTTTGGCAGGGCTAGAGCCGCACCTAGGCGTACGGCCACACCATTTACATGGCAGGATTTTTCACCAACAACAACAACATCCTAACAGGGGTCAGGAGGACAAGGATGACAGGGCAGCCATGCCCACCACCTGTATACCCATCGGGAGCGCAAACGCATCTGCCAGCAGGGAACCAGGTGTCAGGGAACTGCCAGCGCATAGCCGGCTGCGAGGACCAGAGTTTGCTTTGGCTGACATAACACACGCCTCCAGACCTCTTGACCTAGAAGGGCGACATGTGCCCCTCACCCCCCGCTTTTGGCCTGAACCGTTAACCTTCAAGGTTGGGTAAATAAACAGCCGTCGACTGAAAGGCACTACCCACAAAGCACACACAAACACAAACACCCTCCTCACACGCATGAGAGGACCAGAGATCGTTTGAGAGGGGAACGCGACAGCATGGTTTTCAGCTCAACAGTCCGTCACTCCACACAAAACACGCATTTGGGCGGATTGCGGCCTTCTAAGCCGCAACGCTCGCTGCACCTCCTTGGTCCCAGATTCCGGTCACACATGCAGCAGGGTGGGTCATGCAGAAGGAGCCGAGGCACTCATTTCCCACATGCGTGCGATGTGGCAGTTGGGTGCTTGAAGTGGAATATATTGGTGTGCGGTGAGATGTGGCCAGAGAGGATGTGAAGTTGTGGAGCAGCCAACAATTGCCTACTTCAGGTCTGCGTGGACGCGCATGTGGCCGGACAGACCCATGCGATGAATTAATGTGCGATTGCAATGCGGACTGTGGAGACGGGTGCGGCGATTGCAGGTTAGTGCTCCAGACACTGGTCCGCCAGTCTCTCTGCGATGGATTCGCAAGTGACCGATCAGGCCGATGCGTGCAGTGGAGATGCGATCGTAATTAGGACAGGTATAGACCGGGTCCTTATCAGTGGTGTTGACGGTGGTGGTGGTGGTGTTGACGTCTGTTGATGTTTCGGGATTGTGTGTAATGTCGATGAGCATGGCAGACGCCACAGCGGCAGACGATGAGGTAGTAGAGAGGGGGGAGGAGGAGGAGGAGGAGGAGGAGGAGGAGGGGAATAGCACTGGTGGTTCGGGAGGGCGTGGGTACGGCGTGGGAAGTGAGGGGGGAGAAGGTTAGTGTAGTCGGGGAGCTACAGTCAGTCCGGAGGTGTCTAAAAAGTCCATTTGGCGCTCAGAATGCCCGTAGGCATTAAGTGCACGTTTGAGAAGGTTAGGCGATGGCAGTGAACACGTTCTTAAGTCGAGGGACAACGGTTTTGCACTTTACAGAGTATATTTCGATATCACTAAGGCTTTTGATCGTGTTGGCCATGCTCATCTTCTCTTCAAACGGTCGTCTTTCGGAATAGGCGATAAACATTGAAATTCAATATTCTCCTACCTGGGCGCACGTACACAACGAGGTAAGATTTCCGCTGCCAAGCTGCTGATGGAGCTAGTTCGCGAAATGTCCGAGACGTTAGCCTTGATCTTTCGAACGTCATTTCTTACTTGATGCTCGCCCTCTGATTGGAAGTCCGCTATCATCACTCGGCTTTTTAAGCGTGGAAGTCGTGCATCTGCGAATAATTACAGGCCAGTGAGTCCTACCTCCATTTTTTGTAAAATCAGGGAGAAAATCATTAAGAATGCCTTGATCCAGTTCCTCAAGCGGCACCATTTTCTCTCCGATGCCCAACACGGCTTTCTAAGTGGTAGGTCCTGTCTCACGAATCTGTTCTTTACGCTCGAACGCGGGACCAAAGCACGCGTTGAGGGCAATGTGGTGCACGCCATCTACATTGACTTCAAAAAGATCTTCGATGGTGTTCGTCGCCAACTTCTCTTGCACAAACTGCTTAACGGGGGAATTTGTGGACGCCTTCTTGTATGGATCCAGAGCTTTTTGGCTGGACGGTCCCAAAGAGTGCAGGTAGGGCGTCGAAAGTCCTCAGAGGTAAGCGTGGTGAGTGACGTCTCACAGGGCTCAGTCTTAGGCCCCACGTTGTTCCTCGTTTTCATAAATGATTGCGTCAATGACCTAGACTGTGATGCCATCCTGTTGGCCGACGACATAAAATTGTGCAAAGTTATTCACAATGCGGCAGACGCAGACCACCTGCAAGCAAACTTGAACAGGCTCGAAGACTGGTCGATGCGCTGCCTTATGCCCTTCAATATAAGCAAGTACAACTTTCTTCAACTCGGCAGCCTCAGAGACTCCAGCCTCAGGACTTACTTTCTACACGCAACACCACTGCAACAGGTTGACAGTCAGAAGGACTTGGGTGTATGGATTACATCGTCACTTAATTCAACGCTGCACTGCGCAAAGGCAGCTTAATCGGCTACGGCTACATAACAAAATATTGGGAATGAGGTTTTCCTACCCTTATCCTTTCGCCGTAATTTGCGCAGTATTTCTCGTTGATTCCATCTCCAGAACGACATTTTCGTTCTGTCCTTAATTCGTGAAATTTTTGAGCGGGCTAAGAGACTGTCTGATGCAAAACAGCCTGTCGAATGGGTCCAATTCACTGAAAATCGTCCGTTAAATGTCTCGAAACTTTTCTCGCGAAAAGTACGAACTCGCAGAAAGACGCAGCATCCCAACCTCCGAGACGCTCTCGGGACTCCTGTAGCTGATGCCCAGTTAACCGCTGATAGCTTCAATACTCTCCTGTTCAAAACGTTTATTGAAGACTCGACCACTCCGTTTCCGACCATCCAGAAATTGACCGGGGTAGTTCTCGAAACTATAACTTTCACTCTGTGGGATGTGACTGTTGCGATTCGGTGCTCTAGTCGATCTCATAGCTCTGGATCCGATGGTATCCTAGTAAGCATTTTAAAAGCCGATGCAAATACGACTTTCCCATCCCTCTTATGCTAGATATTTCATGTCGCTCTTGAAAGTGAAACCTATCCTACTTCGTGGAAGGAATCACACATTTTGCCCATTCCTAAGCATGGCCAATGTACGTCATTTGATGACTTTTGGCCTATAAACTCCCTCCCTGCAATTTCGAAGATCTCACAGACATTAATCAAAGATAAGATGGGGTGTCACTTAACAGACAATAACCTACTGAGTGTTACTCAGCACAGATTCCTCTCAAAGCTCGGTCTTGTGACACCTGTCACACCCCTGCAGCGAAGACTGAATAAACTGAAATCGGCAAAAACCAACACCAAGATAATGACACCTACTGTCAGTCTGAATATGTCCTCTACAACACCACCTGCGGCATCTGCAAGTCACGGCATAGTCAATTCCGTAGGGAGTTCGGCTACTTTTAATGCTGACCTCTTTAAACACACCACCACGCCTGGTATAAACACGCCTCTATCGACTCCCTCAGCAACCCCTAGAAAGCCTAAGCATGCGCCTAAGTCAAAGGCAAATCCAATTGCTGTCTCAGCCACTCGGACACCCAATAAATCCAGCACCAGTATAAAATGTTTTCCTCCACAATCGGCGAACAGTGCCTCAGATACCCCGACTCAAAACGTAGCGGGTTCGCAACTGCCCCCCAGCCCTCATATCGAGGCTGTTAGGCCGAATATGCCGATTTTCCCACCGTTTAATAGACCTCTTGTTCCAATGGAAACAATGCGTCCCCCACCCCCTAACTTGTTTCCTGCACGGCCGTTTTACCAATTAATTCCTCATCATAATGTCCATACTGAATCAGTTAATTCATCCGATCCCCAGTTTCGTCCCGGTGGGAATACGTTGCAGTATCTGCCCCGCGGATTACAAGCTGAAAATAAGTTAGCTAACAATAGTTTCCAGTTTACCTGCCCGTCATTCCCTCCCCCAAGTCCTACCCATTTTTATCCACGTCAGAATTTTTTGATGCCACAAAATTTTTTGCAGAACCGGATGGTTGCATCCGGACCGTTTGCTCCGTGGGCGACCCAGAACTGGACGATGTAGCCCACCTCCCTCAAAAACTAACAGCCTTTCCCTTCAAACTTTTTGTTTTAAATGCCAGATCCTTGCTTAATAAGATGCCTTTGCTTCAGACTCAGGTTTTCGTCCATTGTCCTGATATTGTTTTAGTAACTGAGACGTGGGCATCAGCCTCAGTAGCTGACTCCGAACTCTCTCTTCTAGGCTACAATTGCATTCGAAATGATCGCCAAGATAGCCGTGGTGGGGGCAGCTGCGTCTACGTTAAGCAAACACTTACATGTTTGCCGTTGGACCTCCCGCACTTTTCAGCGGTAGAAGGCAGCTGCTGGCTACAGGTTGCACTAAAAAATAAGTTCTCCTTACTCGTTGGCTGTATCTATCGCCCTCCCAACGCCAATGAAAATTTTGATCGTTTACTCTCACAGGCATTTCATGCTGCGGCCGACTTAAGTTTTAAGTATCAACTGGTTGCGGGTGACTTTAATCTCCCTGAAGTCCGCTGGTCTCCGCCTTCAGGCCCCAGAAGGTTCGATGACTTTCTTGAGGCTGTGGATGTCGGGATGTGGATTCAGGTTGTTGATTTTCCCACCCGAGGCTCAAGTATACTTGACTTAATTTTCTGTAGAGGCTGCTTGCCATCGTCGGTGTCATCCCTAGGCCCACTCGGGGGCTCAGACCATGACATAGTTGTTTCAACGTTAGAATTCGAGGCTGACGAAATGTTGTCCCAAAAGTATAACTTTTTCCGCGATTCCCGATCAACTCGCTCAACCGAATTATTAACACACCTTAATTCCTACGACTGGACTGAGTTCTTCCTTAGTTCGGATGTAAATGTTTGCACTGCAAAACTGTACGAAATTTTGGGTCCGCTTATTTCTCGTTTTGTCCCCCGTAAGAAAATTATTAATGTTGGGGATGAGATTTTCCTACCTTTACCCTTTCGTCGCAGATTGCGCAGGCTTTATCGTCGTTTCCATCTGCAGAACAATGTTTCTGTTCTGCCCTTGATTTGTGATATTTTTGATCGAGCTAAGAGATTGTCTGAAGAAAAACAGCTAGCCGAAGAGGTCCACTTTACCGAAAACCATTCGTTAAGTGTCTCGAAACTTTTCTCTAGAAAAATACGAACTCAGAGAAAGACGCAGTATCCCATCCTTCGAGACGATCTCGAAAATCCTATAGTTGATGCCCAGTTAACCGCGGATAGCTTCAATGATTTCCTGTCCAAAACGTTTATTGAAGACTCGACCACTCCGCTTCCGACCATCCAGTCATTGACTGGGGCAGTTCTAGAAACTAGAACTTTCACTCTGTGGGATGTGACTGTTGCGATTCGGCGTTTTCGTCAATCTTATAGTCCAGGCCCTGATGGTGTCCCAGTAAGCATTTTAAAAGCCGATGCAAACACTATCTTCCCATCCCTCTTATGCAAGATATTTAATCTTGCTCTTGAAAGTGAAACTTATCCTACCTTGTGGAAGGAATCACACATTTTGCCCATTCCTAAGCACGGCAAATCTACATCATTTGATGACTTTCGGCCAATTAACACCCTCCCTGCAGTTTCGAAGATCTTAGAGACATTGATCAAGGATAAGATGATGTGTCACTTTACAGCGAACAATTTACTGAGTGTTGCTCAGCATGGATTCCTCAAAGCTCGATCTTGTGACACCTGTCAACTCTCTTTCTTTGACTATGTTCTCCAATCTAGGGACCATGGTTTTGCTCTTAACACAGTATATTTCGATTTCACTAAGGCTTTTGGCCGTGTTGACCATGCTCTTCTCCTCTTGAAATTGTCATCTTTCGGAATAGGTGGCAAACTTTTGAATTTTATATCCTCTTATTTGGGCACTCGCACACAACGAGTTAAGATTTCCAATACCATCTCCAAGCCCACGCGTGTGAGGAGTGGAGTCATCCAGGGTAGTGTACTCGGCCCGCTTTTATTTTGCCTTTTCGTTAATGATGTACCCGATTTATTTCAGAATGGTAAGCCTTTCATGTATGCCGATGATCTTAAAGTTGCATATCGATATAGGCCGGCAGATCATGACATCGTGTTTGAGCTCCTAAAGACCGATCTACAGGCTTTCGCCCAGTGGTGCCGCACATGGCGCCTTTCTCTTTCCTGGCATAAGTGCTCAGTCATGGTGGTTGGCGACGACCGTCAACCTCAACTAAGCATTGAAGGTCACGCAATAAATGTGCCAGGGGTTATAAGGGATTTGGGCGTATCATACTCCAAGAGTCTTAATCTCTCGGAGCACTGTGCCATGATAGTCTCCAAAGCACGTAGAACGACCGGGTTTATCCTCCGAAATTTTAAAACAAGGGACATTAGAATGCGCCTTTTCAACATGTACGTTAGACCTGGTCTGGAATACTGTTCGTTTTCATTTAGCCTCATGCGTGCTACTGAGCGGAAGAAAACAGAATCCGTTCAACACTTTTTTACCAAGAGAATTTTAACCCCGGAACACCGACATTTGTCTTACCAAGAACGTTGCCGGCTTACAGGCCTCGATCCTTTATGGTTCCGTAGATTACAAAAGGGACTATTTTTGCTATTTAAACTCTTATATAATCACACATTTAACCCGCTCACCTCTTTAAGACATCATATCCACCCACGACGAAACAGTCACCGTGAGGTCTTCTTATTTCTGCCTCTGGCACGTACTGTTAAATATCGTCGGTTCTTTTCTGTAAATGCACTTGCTATTTGGAATAAACTACCCATAAGTGTGAAAACT